TACAGAGGATTCGGTGGTTGATTAGGCGAGTTTGTGGATTCATCTCCACACTGATCGGTTTGTCGAGATCGCGTCCGTACCATCCTCCCCACCTAAGGATGGAACCCACCAAAAGAAACACAAAGTAGAACAAGCACAGACACAAAGTAACAGGGAAGGTTATGTGAGATTATTATATATTGCCACTAAATGCAACGTAATGCAACCCACTTCGCAGAACCTTTAGCTCTGATACCAAATTGTGACAACGTGTTCTTTCAAAACCATTTTAGCTTAAATCCAACAATTTATTTGAATGATTAACCATGACAGAAAAGAAGAAACCTTAAAATTTTAAAATCGCTATCATTGTTAAAAGAATAAACTTATATTACGAGCCACATCAATCATTAACTTGGGACTTGGACTTTCAAAGTCCAGAATATGATTCAACCGTTCGCCCAAACCAAACTTATACTTTCAAAACATACGAACTAATAAAACATTTTAATATAAGTCATGAAGCCCATTAGTCAAAAGTCAACACTATCAAATGAGTGTAATACGCAAAGTCTTAAATATCTCTGGTCTTCCAATGACCCCCCAGATCAGATAGTAGTAATTAAAAGTATTAGTTTACAACATTAGAGTATATGGGCCCTATGTGGCAATATATAACAAGTCAACACATAAAACAAAAGCAGGAAGGCTATACAAGCTGTAAGAGCACACTATGCCTCTAGAGCCTTCCCTGATGGGTCACCACCTGAACTATCACCTGAAGATAGTAAAAACCATGGGGTGAGACAAACGCCTCAGTAACCAACTTTTCAACGCATCATACACACTAACACGTGCTCGTGAGGTGTCAAGTGGGACAGTTATTAATTCTCGAAAACATAGATATATAATTTCAATCATCCAAACCCTCACTTTGGGGGCTATCACACAAGCCATAAGTCTAAGTCTATCCCTCACTATGGGGGATTAATCAGACATATAGGCATATCTCACACTTTAGGGGACGAATAAGTAGTCACAAAGGTCCATCTCTTATATAGGTTATCCCAGTCATCCCACACATTGGGGGACGAATAAAAAGCCACAAAGGTCTATCCCTTAAAAAATTATTTAGTATTTTAGAGATACTTAAAATTTTCTAACAAGCCAAATTATTTATTTACCACCTCCAAATTATTCACCTTAATAAAAAGAATTTTTCCTAATTTCCAAATATAAAATTACTATGTTCTAAATTCTAAAAAATCTCATTTTAAGTTTAAACCTCAAAATCAAACTATCAAAAATTCAATAATACTTCAAATATTTATAAATAAATAATCTAATCAAAAATTTAATAGTATAACTACCATATATATATTTCCATAAACTTTTTAGCTACAATAATTATTTTAAAACCTCCAGTCACCCAATAAATAAAACTAAACCGATTGAAATCTCAATAATATGTCAAACAACCCAAATAAATTGTTCAACTTAAATTTAATCGGTAAAAATATGGTATATCCCATAAATAACAGATTTTCAACTAAATAAATTAATTTAAATACTAAAACTAACAAATAGACAAATCTAAACCGATTAAAATTAACAACTCATTTACTTCTAAATTTCTATAGTCATCTTTTATCAAAACTCAATACTTATATCATATATAAGTCTCAAAATTTTCTCCAATCACTATAGTAATAATGTAAATAGGAAGCTTAAAATATACAGGAATATTTATGAAGAAATTTTAATAAAAAGAAGTAATTTTATGTACCTAAAATATCTTCAAAGCTTGCCCTCTGCTTCACCGGTATGCTCCTCTTTCTCATGTACACTCTAATCTCTCTTCCTCTCTTTCCTTCTTGTGCCGGGGAATTGGGTTGTGGGGAGTGTTAAAATAACACTCCCATACATGTATTAGGTCCCCTCATAATTATCTTCCAACTCCCAACTCCCAACTCCAATTCTCTTTCTTTCTTCAACCTTCACCCCTCAATTCAACATTCACATTCAACTTTCCACCGAAATTCGATGGAAAGTTGACTTTAACTCCTTTTTTAAAAAATTTAAATTAAAATATTATTATTTTATTTATATTTATTTATTTTTTTGAATTTTTTTTAAACCTAAAATAAACTTTAGGATATTACATAGTTTCTGTCCCGTCCCATCACATGAACACCCTAATAAAAACTCAAGTGCTCAAGTGGAAAAAAGTCTATTAAACAAAAAATAAGATAATTATCATGCTCTTGTTATAAAACTAAGAGAATTAGAGAGAGGAAAAGATTGGAGCATTTCTCATTCTATTCAAGATACTAAATATATTATACATGCCTTTTATTTACAGGCACAGCTTTATATTTTTGACAAAATATACATATTATATAATAATAGAGATAATTGTGGGATATAAAGATAATACAAGATATTGAAGATAATAGGAGAGATATGGACATTTACACATATTATTGTATTCATAATAGCTCTAAAATTTTAATATTTTTTTTTCTATTGAATCACTTCTAAAACATAATAAAGTCATTAATATTAAGGAGCATATTCAATATAGACGGAAAATAGATTTTAGCTACTATAATAAGTGACATGTAAATATGAATTTTACCTATTTTGTTTCTCTCATAAATTGTAAACAAACCCTTTCTATTGATATGGATATCACTAAAATAAATTTATAACAATTGTCATGTTTGTATGAACAACACAAATCTGAAGAAGATGGGGTAAACTAATACTGTCATCTTGAGCGATCAAAAGAAAGAGAGGAAGAGGTGAATAGTTGGTGAATAAAAGGATTGGACTTATATATGAATAATAATGAAACGTGAAATTTAAGGTTAAGCGTAACTTAATAATTTTATAATTAATTTATAAAATTAATATAGATGATATTACATATAGTTGTATATAATAATGCAAACAAGAAATAAATAAATAGGCTATACTTTACAAAAATAGGTCTAGCTATTTGTTTAAATAGGCTTGGAATGACAATGAGCCTCCGCCTGAGCCTTATTTTGTTGAAGTATACAGGAACTTATGTTTAATAAAGAAAGAATTAATTTTTTTAGTTTTTTAATTTTTAATTCACTTATATTCAATTCTCTAACTATATAATATGGTGTAACTCAATTCTTAAACTTTTCATTAGCTTATAACTCAATCTCTTATCTTCTTATTTTTTTAATATTAATTAATATCCTTATCATTTTTCATTTATAACTTAAGCAGCATTTGGATAAAAACTAAATCATAATTTTAAAAATAATTTTATGACAGGTAAAGTAAATATGTAAGAAGGGTTTTGTATCGAATAAAAACTCTTTTGAAAGTGATTTTACGTTCTTCTAAACATCCTTCAATCTTATGGGCAAACCATCCTTAAAAGTGCTTCCAACCTAAGCTTGCCTGTTGGGGTGTCTCTCAAAACCATAGTTTGAGAGGCAAAACGGGTGGGATGTCACCCAAATAGCATCAATTTTGAAAAAAAATATCCGAAACTTGGTTTGGGCCAAAATCATGGTTTTGGAGCTCAAAACTATAGTTTCAAGAGAAGTAAATCCATTCTGCTTCTGGTTCAAATTGGAGAGTATGATTGTGCCTGTCATAGTAGATTTCAACAATAATATGAATTTAACATCCCTCAATTATTTTTTATAAACATATTTAATTTTATATCTTATAAATATATATACACATATTAATTATTTATGAATTATGTTATCTTACGTATTATTAATTATGGTAAAAAATATATTAACAATTTTATTCCTTCATATTAAAATATGTCATAAAATCTATCTTTTATATAAGGGAAAATCCCAATTAAATCCATCTGAAATAATGAAATTCCAATTAAGGCTTATACTTTTAACAAATTCCTAATTAGGGCAAGAGACCTAATTAGGGATTTTCAAATGTTGATAAAAGACCAAAATGCCTCTTTATAATCAAAAAGGAAAATTGAATGTAGGTGTAAGCCTAATTTTAGTTTTAATTATTCTAGTAGATTTACTAATGAGGATGTGGTTTTTCTTAAACTTTATGTCAAATTTGTGTTTTGTACTTGTGAATGTTATGTCAACTCTAGAATTTATGGCCTTTTAGTTATTTTTTATATACTAAAAATTTGATATTGAATAAATCTTGGAGACCGAAAAATTAAAGATGAATTGATGAGTCTCAATGTAATTTTTGAAACAGTAAAATTAATTTTGATAGATATTCAAGAATTTCATGAATCTTTTATTTGATTTTTTCTCGTACAAAAAAAAACTTTGATCCTATTAATCTTTGACATTTGAAATCGTAAAATTTTTATTAGTTCCCATATTTTTGCAATTCTATGGATATCTAGAAATTATGTATTTTTTTATCTGTACTCTTCAATTTTTTTGTTGGCCATAATCGTTATTTTTATTTTTTTATATGATAATATTTTTGGCCAAATTTTCATATGATAATATTTAAAGAAAAACATGTTACTTAAATTCAATTAAAAGAATTAAAACTAAAATTAGGCTTTTTAATTACAGAGGGCATTTTGGTCTTTTAGTAATATTAGAAATCTCCAATTAGGCCTCTTGGCCTAATTAAGAATTTGTTAAAAATGTAGGCTTAAATTAAGATTTTTCTATTTCAAATGTATTTAATTAGAATTTTCTCTTTATATAATTCTTATATTAACTTATGCTTTTTTAGTAATTTGTATATATAAAAAGTGTTTTGATAACAACTATTCAAACGCTTTCACTTCTTAAATCACTTTTTCACAATATATTTTTTACAAAATCTATTCCTCATAGTCTATTTTTCAAAAGCTATTCTGATTGTTTGGTTTCATTCATCTAGAACTTTTTAATTAATGTTAAACACAATCAAAGCATAGGGGCTGGACGACGGAGAATGGGGAAAGGAAAGTTGCAGAGCACCCAAGCTTGCTAGCGTCTCTGAAGTTGAGATTCAAGAGCTTCAATGTTGGCGGCCAATTAATTTCCAACTTCAAATCTAATACCCGCTTCCATCCATTTTTACGCTGAAGTTGAGCACCCTCCTCATCCATTCCTCCCCCACTTCAGCAAAATGTGATGCGTGGATGATCTGATTTGATACAGTTCATGGGGTCTATAAGCTTGAAGACATGGGTCATTAAGTTTCCACCTATTTTACCTTCTGATTTTCGCATCATAGCTCTCCAAAAGAGCACTGTTCAGTCTTTTTAAACGTTGGAAGGTTACGTTTTCCATATAGGAAGTTTGAAACCTCGTAATTTGTATGCACAGGGGGCAGGGGAAGCAATGGCTTTACAAATGAGCTGTCAGAACAAAAGGCAGAAGCTTGTCGATTGGAGTGATGATGGAGGAGAAAAATGGGTCAAATATTATTCTTCGCATCATCAAATATTGTTGGTGGGTGAGGGTGATTTCTCCTTCTCCCTTTCCTTGGCTCAGTCCTTTGGTTCAGGTTTCAACATCGTTGCTTCTTCCCTTGACACCTATGGTCTCTCTCTCTCTCTCTCTCTCTCTCTCTCTCTCTGCGCTCTTACATTTGTGTGTGCAATGTTTCTTCTTCAAAATTTCCCCCTTCGTCGTGACAGATGTTGCTTTGAATACTGGAGTTATCTAAAATTGCATAAGGTTTTTCTGATTGCTTGATGATGACGCTTCTTATTAATACCACGTTAAGTGTTTGTTTTTCACCTCCTTCCCTCTTGAAATAACTATTATTTTCCCTTAGTAGTTTGCAAAACGAGGACGTTGTTCATCTAAGTGAGTTTGGTTTCTGTTCGCTTGTTCTTTTCTAAGCATCCAAAGGAAGTCAAGCTGTGCTTTGCGATTTCGCTGAACGGATCATTGATGACCGGAAGATTTCTCAATTGTGATTTTAACCCCATGTAAATAAATCTTAACATTTGGCCTTATATTTATTTATTTATTATTGTCGTTTGTATTTTGCATACCCTACGAAGAGTTTCTAGCGGGAGTCAAGGAACTAAATATTTGACTATCGTTTGGTATTCTAATGAAGCTTAGTTTAGACATGAATCTCGCCTTGATCTTTACTTTCCTGGCTAGTTTTCTAATTCTTCATGATTTGTGGAAGTGCTTGTGTTTATATACTATTCTTCCACTTTTCTATGAGCATCTTATCGATTTTGTTCTCTGAATGATTTGTTTCTACTTTTATGCATGTTATCAAAGTTGTGGATTGTGGATTCGATCGATCTGGTTTACTCTTCTGCTTTTCGTAATTGTTGTTACTACAGTGTTGAATGTTTGTCATGTCATTGATTGCTTTTGCTGTTCATTAAGATCAAGTTGTGAGGAAGTACAAGAAGGCAACGTCAAATTTGATTGCCTTAACAAAGATGAGAGCATGTGTGTTGCATGGAGTTGATGCAACCCAAATGAAATTTCATCCATACTTGGAAATGAGGAGATTTGATAGAATTATATTCAACTTCCCTCATGCGGGCTTTCATGGCAAAGAAGACAACTTCTCCATGATTCAGTGAGTTCCCTGTTAGAATTTTGTTACTATTGTCTAACATCTGTGTGTGTCTGTAATGCAATATAAAGACTGTGTTAGATGCATAGTGTAAAATCATCTCGGATCTTTCCATAATTATTGTGTTTAAGCTTTTCTAAGGGATTGTACAGACATGGCAATTTCTCTTGCTCAAAGTCTGATTTTCAACAGAGAAAAATAAGCGGCAATCTTGATATCTGGTCCTCATATTATCTAATGATTCTGCTGATTCTGCTGTACATTTGTGCTTTTTAGTTTAAGCCGATTCGGTTTGGTACATGAACCATTTAGTTTTCCTAGCATTTGGCTGCTTATGTATAAGATGGTTTGCGATAGAAAATATGCAAAGATATAGTGGTGTAAACATATATACATTTGAAACTTGCATGTGTTGTATTATTTGTACGTCCAAACATTGATTATTCTAACTAACAAGCTCTGGTAACTTTCACTAAAAGACAATGCATGGGCAAG